AGGAAGGATCAAATACTGCGTTTGTCGGGCCACAACCGGTATTACCCCACTCTTTAAACACAGCAAAAGAGAGTATAAGTAGCTGGGGCATGAAACAATTCCTTAAGGAATGAAATATGTCCCCCGGATGCAGGCAATCGATGAAGTTTCTGAAGGAAATCAAACCTAAAGAAACGAAATGGTTACTCTCTAACTCTAGGAGGGGAATAGGGAGGCTGATAGGTATCCTAACGGGCCATTGCCCCTTGAGAAGACACCTCTTCATAATGGGTACTCTACCAGACCTCTTCTGCCGCTTCTGCGAAACAAAAGAAGAAACGGCTCGACACTACCTCGCAGAATGCGATAGGTATGCTAGGAAAATATTTAATACTTTCGAAGGAGAGGACATAACCAAAACACTCCCCAGGATAAAATGGTCCTCAATCCTGGGGTTTGTGAATAGGTCCAATAGGTTTATGCAGGACTCGTGAGCCGACTAGGTCCCGGACCTTTAAGGGATGGGGTACGGGCCTACTCAGGCTTTTAACCCCTCGGGTCCTTGTCGCCCGCCCTGTGTAATATATATATCGGCTAGCGTCGCATAGCGTTGCATCGGGTATGTTCCCCGCTTGAGACATTGACAAGGCGACCCATCACTGTAAGGCGGCCCTGCGTTCGAACCCAACATACTTACAAATAGAACCCTTTTGTTTTCAAAAACACCGAAACCCCCGATGAGGTGGTTGCTACCAATAAAATAATCAATAGCATAAAGTCTCTAAAGGAAGAAAAATTTCAAAGCTCCATTTCAAACGCTAACGTAACTACACATTGGAATAAGATTTTGGTATTCTCGGAAGAGAAATGCTTTGTGATAAAATTGAATGAACATTGAAAAGAATAAGCGGTGAGAACGCGTTTCCTTCAGTTAAGCATGACTTTCCTTATCGCAATTTGAATAATTATTCAGTCAATAAAAAAGTTAAATAAAAGTTCAAAACTCCCGAATATATACATAACAAGTAGGCTACACATGAAATTCTCCATGTCGTAAGAGGTGAATTTCAAATAAAAAGCAGATGAAATGGAAATTTGTTTTCCCCCCGATTCAAATATAAACGATTTCGAAATTTTGAAAAGCTTCGAACTCGTGGTATAGGCGTATTTAAAGAAACAAAACTTTTTTTGGTCTTGTTTATCATATTTGGCCATAGTTCCTTGATATCGGTGAACCTGCTAGCCAAACCCGCGCGGGCCAACCAAGGCCGCCACCGGGGGATGCTCGGAGTGCCACCTTTTGGTTTGATCTTAGGGAAATCCAAGCTTTCTTGCAGGTGCATTGACAGGATTAGGATAAAAACAACTTGTTTAACAGCGCAGGGGACACGTCCACATCCTTCCTGCAGACCGCGGCCCAATTCGCTCTGACCACTCCTCTCCTTCACCCGACCACCGCCAGGCCCCAACCAGCAGAACCCACATCGATTCATTTATCGTTCACAGTTTTTAATTTCGACTACGTTTTTATTAAGTCGATCAAGTTTTTATTTCGACTATATGTCAAGTCACTACTTGTTTAACAGCGCAGGAGACACGTCCACATTCTTCCTGCAGACTGGGGCCCAATTCGCCCTGACCACTCCTCTCCTTCACCCGACCACCGCCATGGCCCAACCAGCAGAACCCCCATCGCTTCATTTATTGTTTACGGTTTCTAATTTCGACCAAGTTTTTATTAAGTCGATTAACAATCCTTATATCAGCGATATATGGTCTATCTAATTTCTGCAATTTGCTTTTCCTTGCCGAGGAGAACACCATGCATCCGTAATTAATTTTGTACACAACAGCGATTTAAATACGTTAATGAATATTTCCCTCGTTGCTCCCCATCGAAAATTATTTAGAAATTTTATTAAATTTAATACCTTTTTACTCTGGACCGCAGTATGGTCGATGTGGTGCTGCCATCTCAATTTTTAATAAAAAAATGAGGCCGAGGTATCTTATACTGATCAAATACTCGAGGGCCGTTCCTTTTAGCGCAAGAGGAGAGGCAGTATTTTCCCTTCTCAGTCTGCAGAAGTGTACTACTTTTGTTTTACCCCTCGTAAATGTGAATCCGATGCCCTCAGCCTCTCTGACCACCACATTGATCCCTTCTTGTACTTTTAGTTATTCGAGTTATTTCATTGATATCGTCTCCACTGGAAAGGATTGTCAAATCATCGACGTACAAGGCCTTTAGCAGAGGAGCTTCCCATTTATTTGATATTTTGTTTACTGCGATTCCGAATAACGTTACAGAAAGTACCGATCCTTGGAAGATTTCATTTTCCCGCCGATGTTCATCCGATGTCACTGCACCAATTTTAACCTTAAATCGTCGGCTTTCCAAAAAAGTATTTGTTAATTTAAGGATTCTCCCCCGTAGCCCCCAGTCATGACATTTTTTCACAATCCCATATCGCCAGGTTGTATCGTAGGCCTTCTATAGATCGAAGAAGACCGCGACACAATGTTGTCTTCTAAGGAATGCATCCTGTACCGCGGTCTCGAGAAGGCCGGTCTGGTCGACGGCTGAGTGGCCTCTCCTGAAACCCGCCTGTTATGAATTAAATAATCCTTTTGTTTCCAGGTACCACACCAGCCGTCTGTTTATCATACTTTCCAATATCTTTCTCAGGCATGTCGTCAGCGATATGGGTCTGTAGCTGCTGGGGCCGCTTCGATCTTTTCCTTCTTTTAGGATCGGCACCACAATGGCCTCTTTCCAGCTGTCCGGGTATTCACCCGCTCACCATATCTCGTTGTAAAATTCAAATAGTTTCATTTTAGCGGGAGCGGGTAGACTCCTTATAAGTGCATTTGGAATGTTGTCACAACCCGGACTTGTATCTTTAGTATTTTTTAATGTTGTTTCTAATTCGGCCATTGTCAGGTCTAAGTTGACCTGTTCCGTAACGCTTCCTTCAAGATCCAATTCATTTCCTAACTCCAGACGTTCTTTAATTTGTTTAAATCTCTCTGAATATGACATTTGCATAATGGTCTGCGAGCGCATCGGCCATCACTTTGACATCACTTACCATTGAGTTCTTGATTTTAAGGATCGGAACCATAGGTGGCTTGTATTTCCCGGTGATGGTGTTAATCCTTCTCCAGTTCTCCTTCGCGTTCATGTCGCTTGTTAATTCTTTTACATAATTATGTAGGGAGCCTTTTTTGGCCGCGTTGATAATCCTTCTTTCTTTTGCCCTAGATATTTTGAACCTTGTTAGATTTTCCTCCGTCGGATACGTATTAAACCGTCTAAAGGCCCGCTTCTTTTCTTTATTGGCCCCCCCGCACTGCTTATTCCAGTAATGGACTGGTCTGTGTTAGGTCTAGGTCCCCCGGTCGTAGGTACTGATGTTGCTGCGGCGGCCTTAATCGCATTTGTAATTTCATCAGTGTCTACCCCCCCCCCATTAAATCTGGGAGAGTCACTGACGTTACATAACCGGGCCAATCCGCTTTCTTCAGGTTATATCAAGGACTAGGCACGTACGGTTCCAAACGAATGGAGCTGGTTATAGCGATGGGGAAATGATCACTGAAATATAATTAACGAATCCCATGTCACATCCGGAACTAGTGTCGGAGAGGCAAATGTTAGATCGATAGCGCTGTATTTTCCGTTATATGTATTAATATGGGTTTGTTTCCCCGTATTCAGTAATATGAAATGTGTATCATCAACCATTTCTTCTATTTTTGTCCGTTTAAATCTCCCTTTAAGAGAACGGGGTGAGGTAATCCATTAATTATTTCTTTTACTTCTTCATGATTCCAATTTCTATATGGTAATAAACTTAACATAGTGTTATTTCCTGGAGTATTTTATCCTGGCAGCTACGATCTGAACGTTTTTGTTTTCTATGTATATTTCTTCTGACTGTATATTATTTTTTACATAAATAGCCACTCCCCCGTGCTATTGGTACTCCCCGGGTGAAAGTACGATATTCTCTTAAAGAGAATTGTTTCCCCAGGGCATAAATGGCTTTCTTGGAGGGAAATGGCTATAGGCGTATGCTGTGCGATAATCCTTCGTAATCCTTATATATATGTTTTAATGCCTCTCAAGTTCCATTGGATGATTATCCCGTTCAGTTCAGCGGCGTATTTAGCCGTTCGAATCCCACTCGTGACACTGAATTTTTATGTCAACCATAAACATCATAAAGATTATATAAATAATTATAAAGTATCGGATGTACCTAAATCTAGCAAATCAATTATAAAATAGTGTAGTACAAATATCGAAATGTTATAAATTAGTATTTATATTTAATTTACTAATTATAAATTTTAATTAATTTGTATGTGTTAGTATTATCGTTTAAATTCAATACTCCTACTTTTTTAGAGAATTAACTTTCATATAATCAGCACTTAAATTCTAACCTGCACGGGTTGAAAATAAGTAATGCAAAAAAATTTATGAAAAACACGGAAGTCTCGCGAATCCAAAGTATTTTTAACTAAAAATTAAATGAGACCTTTGCCCTAATTATTTGATAACAAGGAGCAAAATCTTTTTGTTATCCTATTTCGAGCTATACAATATTCGCTTATTTTTTCCTAGAATGTAGACTATTAAGAGAAAAGAACAAATACTCGGATGATAAAAAAATAATACCTTAATATAAACTTAAATATTCAAAATTTATTAAGCTATAAGCAAATTTAATAATTATAATAAATAAGTAAGAAAATTTGCTTAATTTTTTAATCAACATCATTGGAAATGCTAAGTTGAATTTCTAGCAACGTCGAACCCTAAAATTTAAACGTTTTTCAAATATGTAAGACAAAATAAAAAAAGATAGATTTGAACTTTTCTCTTAACAATAAATAAATGAAAATCGAATGTACAAAAACTTACGATGTCATTTTCAATCAAAATCAAACATTCATTTGAATATTTGGTTTGGGAGGATTCTTCACTGATAACATTTTTTTAATATATTTACCTGAATGTGAGGAAGATCAGGAGCGATAGGACGAGCGCTGCGAACGATACGTAATAGCCCACGACATAAATTGTGTTTACTATCTCCCTGAACTAAAAAATAAAAATAAAAATACATGAATAACATAAAAAGAATGGAATGAGTATTAAATAAATTTTTGTACAAGCAACAACTGATTTAACATTTAATGATGAACATGGAACTGTTGGAACCGTTAACAAGTTGATCATAATAGAAACAATTACGCGGTTAATTTTATTCTACAATTAATTTAATGCTGATTTAATTATGCTAGTTTGATGAAATCAGAGTAAATCTCAATAAATCGAAAGGGAATTGTGTTCAAAGGACGTCGTGACATCTTTTATAAGTAAATTATTGCCTTATATTTGTTGCATTTTCTGACTATTTAAATATAGGTTTTTTAAAAGTTAGTTTATATTTCTTATCTAATGACGACAAAATAGTGGTTAAAAATAGTTTCCTTTGTGATTGAAACTAACCATTATCTGAGAATGAAAAAGCTTTTAATTTTAAATAAATCCATTAAAGCCCAAATAATGCAAATATTTACTGCACATTTTATAATTATATTTGTAAAAAATTTATTAGCCCAGTGACAGTAAAAATAGTATTTCAGAGCAAAATGGTGGAGTATTGATTCTAATTTTCAACTAGCAATAATCGCATTTCAGTAGAACTTCATCGGTTACGATAATGCCTTTGAGCAAAGGTTCAAGGTTTCTTCAATTACAAGAAAATACTAACATTCTTAAGGACTATTATGAACAACGGGGCTTGGTTTTAACTTGAATAAGTCACAAATTATGATTTTTAGAAAACGGGGTAGGCTGTCGACATGTGAAAAGTGGGTGTTTGGTGGTGAGGCGATTGATGTGTTAAATTCATTCAAGTTGTTTGGTGTCAATCTGACCCTAAGCCTCTCCATTAATACTCACATGCAAGAGAGAGCGTGCACCGCTGAAATGGCACTTAATAGGGGTCGAGTCTGGTTAATCACAATTTGCTGCCTATTTCTCACAATTTGATGATGGGTGTTGGTATGAGATTAGGTGAACTTTTGCTGAACCGGAATAGTGCCACTTTGTGGTTTCTTGTCCTCTCGCGGGTTTGTTGAATTACTCAAACACTTTCGGTATTGTGCGAAGTTTGGGGATTGCTGTGGATAATAAGTTAGACAAATTATTGCGTTTTTTTATTGCCCCAAACCATCTTGAGACATTTCAATTATGTGTTGAGAACTGTTAGTCTTCATCCTGCAGACTTCCTACAATTTTTGCAATTGAGGTAATTAAATAAAGCTTTTTTGGGTTCAGAGCAGGTTCAATCTTTTTGAAAATACAGTTCGCCCTTTCTTAGTTAATGTATCGTTATGTTAAAAATGAACTATCAACCTTAGATGACCACTTTTTATTATGTTTATTTATCACAATTCTTATTTAAACTATGACCTTATAATGTCTGTTCTGGACATTCATTCTGGAGGCAAGAAGAACTAGGTTGAGTGTATTTTTCTCTACAAATTATTAAATAATTTTATCACAACGCCTGAACTACTTTCTTATGTAAGGTTGAATCCCCCTAAATACACGACTGGTGCGTCACTATTATTCAATGTCTCACGCCTGCTCCAGTAACTACCAGTTCCACTATTCCATTAATATAAGTCAGCGAACAGGAAATATACTACATATAGATTTATTTAATGCTCCTCTTTAAAAAAAAATTAACTAATAAAAATATAAGTTAAGTTAAAATATTTGTCATTTGTTCCCTTATATATTTTATATGTATATATANATATATATATAATTTTGACAATGCATTTCTATAATGAAAGGATAGCCGCTAAGAAAGGGTTTTTTTAATTGAAATATTCAACTTGAATGTTACAATTGAAAATAATGTGAAAGTCCTTTTCAAACGAAAAACAAATCAAACTAAAAAATCTCTGTGATGATCGCCGCTTATGAAAGTGGGCTGAATGTCGTTTGCAGATTAACACCTTTTTTTCTTTTTGGCCGAAGAAAATGTGACAGTCCATCAAAAAATTTGTTTCCAGCTCAGCTTTCACCCAACATGCCATTTCCAATGGAAATCTCCTCCCACCTCACTGTAGTGTGGAAGGGCTTTGTGCGGCCTTATAAATTTCTCTGTGATAATACAAAACATCAATTACAGACGGAAAGCTCTGCTATATTGAGCTGCAAATCAAAGTTGCCAAGGTTCCTGCGCATAAATAAAATAAAATCTAAGTCAGGCATTTCCAATATAATTTTAATATAATATATTATTATATACATGTTATAATATATTATATACAATATAATTAAGATATTAATTGGTCAAGCGGACCACAAAAACTAGTGATTTTTATAATTTGTTTTCTTCATCTACAAAAATTCAACACGAAGTCGGAAAAGCATTAATTTTATTTAAAGTATTTATGTTTAGTGGTCAATTGACCAAGTTACTTCTTTCAATTAATTATTCTTTTTATGTAAGCTCTTGGTCTAGGTAAAAAAGTCAGTGTCACGAGCGGGATTGAAAATGGCAAAAAGAGGGAAAAATTCGAACGGTTGTAGCTTGAGATGGAGAAAATGTTTTTCTAAAACCTGCGTCACACCGGGCCGCTTCTAACGATCTCCTAATAATCATTGACTAACGGTCACTAAACACCACACATTTATTTAATGTGTTGATATATCGACCACTGTTTTTATTCACGAATGATCTGGATCTATGTATGGCCATGCTGAAGAAAACAAATTCGATTGTTACAGCTTTGATCAAGCGCAAAACAATCTTACATATATTTACTAATAGACATAATTAAGTTTTTAATAGAAACTTAGATTTTTAAATTGCTTTGAACATTAACAGTCCTGGACAATCTTGGAACTAAGTCGGTCTTCGAAGCAATTTGAAAACCATTTAATAAAATCTTAATTATGTAAATTGGTAGATATTTTCATAATGTTTTCCACTGATGAAGACAAGTCGAAAGCTTGGAAGTAACAATTCAATTTGTCAATCAAGACTATACCGAGATCGAGTTATCCCTGAAACAATAATTTTAATTTTCATTTTTGTATTTTAAAATGTAGCTTTTGTATTATATTTTATCACAGCTGAGCTACCCATTACATTTCATTCACGTTCATCTCAATTTGGGATTAACTTATCCATCATTCTGATTTACTTTTCTCAACGCACAATTCAATTATGACGATTTTATCTGTTAAATAAATTTATATTTTTTTATCCCATCAAACTTTGCAATTAAACTTGTAATTAAAAATATTAAACATTTATATGACATATATTTATTACTAAATTATTAAACAAAGTAATTTTTTTTAAAATAAGTTATTCAGTATATTGTTGTTTTAAAGATTATTAATATGCGAATCTGATAAAATTTTAGATCTTGTCAAAAAAGCCGTAGTTACAAAAATAAACAGACTTAATTGTCTTTGTTCATTTCAACGTACTGGAACATAATCGTTTTATAAACATCCTACATCACTGAATTGATAATTTTTTTCCTTATACCAATTGTTCATTTCACTAACATGTTAAAATCTGAAAACTAAACTATTTTTTAATATTGCACTAAATGTAAACTTTGTTTATAAATTAACATTTACCTATTATGGAAACTCATGTTTAAAACGCCAATTTGTTACATTCGTTTTTGCATATTGTTTTCGTCGACTAAAAATATATTGTGTACGTATCATTTATTATATTATTAATAAAGTTTGTTTGCATACATCTTAAAAAATTACGTAGGAGTTCGGCTCTCGTGAAGACATGGCCATAAAAGTTAATGTCGTTAGTTTTAAACTAAAGGCGTGAGAATTTGCCAGGTTTTGCTATAATTCAAGATCAAAGTTAAGCCATTATTCTATAAGTATTGTCTCCTGAAAATATACAACAATTTTCAAATCACAGAACGTACGATAATTGGCCATAAACCTCCCGGGCATGAGGTTAAACTACGTCCATTCACCCCTCCCGTACCTGGTGGCTATCCTTAATTTCCCATTCCATCTACTAACTGTATAACCTTACCTTTTTCCCGGTAACTACCCTTTCCCAAAACTAATTTGTTCCTTTTCCTGTCTAGGCGTCCCAGTGTCTAGGGAGGGGGAGGTATGTCAGTCTACCTTAGTTGCAGCCTATGGGTAATAGGATATCTACGTACCACAGTGAAAATTAGCTTGCTCCTTTTCATTTAAATAAGGCCGTAGACCCGGAAGGTCACCATGCCGGTGAGCCCGTGGATAGGGATCATCCACGTGCTTATTCATTGGATCCCGTCGGTGTTGGTGAGAAGAGTGGCACCACCCGAGTACAGGCAACCACAAGTAGGACTGACAACGGACTCACGAACGTTACCACTTTTCAGCCGTTTGATCCGGCTGCGACTCTGAAGAGAAAACGGACAAGGAAAGAAAATAATTGAGGACACAGAACATAATTGGGCTGGGAAGAGAAAAAATTTCGCCAGATTTTGGGTTTTAGAAAAGAAAGAGGGTGACTTTAAAGGAGATTCTCCCATCAAGTTGTGCCGAATGGTACAGAAGCAACTTAGCCGAATCAAGAATGTAAAAAAGACTACTGCTGGCCAGCTGCTATTAGAAATCGACGACAGTTTATCGGCACTAAAGCGATTGAACTTCTACAAGGGAGAGATCTCAGCTCGAGATCTAATGATCTGCCTAGAGGAGGAAATTAAAAAGGAATTGGCGTCACAAGGGGTCACCGATGTCGCCCGTGTTAAACCGAGAAAGGACTCATAGACACAGCCCCGCTGATTCTAACATTTGGTACGCCGACACCCCCTACAGATGTCAAAGGGATCTTTCAAAGATTCCCGGTCAGGCCGTATGTACCGGCCCCAATGCTGCGCTTCAAATGCCTAAGTTTCGGACATACGAGTATGAGGTGTAGATCGGAACATACATACTGATCATGTGGCCTCCCAGTTCACAAAGGGCAGCCGTGTTTGTACAAATGTAAAATTGTAAAGGGTACCACCATGCTAGATATAGTGCGTGCCCTGTATTACAAGAAGAAAGGGAGATTTAAAAATTAAAAACCAAAAGAAAATGGCGCACGTAGAAGCGAGGGCCCTAGTCAGAAGTGATGCGTTCATTAAAAGCACAAAGTAAAATGCGAGAGCGGCTTCCCAAACCAGGGCCCAAAAAATAACTGCGGAGGTTTGCATTCAAACTGAGCAACCTTCGCCAATAAATCAATTTTCGGGTGCCATCGCCACTAAGGCACCCAGCCACTGACTTTTGTCAGTGGCAAAACCAGTGGGTGAGCAATCACCCCCAGTAATAATCAAGGCCCCGACTTTGCAGGGGTCGAAAACCCAAAGCGCTCCTCCAGCCGGGGGGGGGGAGATTTTGAAGGAGGTAACCCCTCCTTCAACACTGGGGTGGAGGTACCCACCTGACAACAAAAACAGTTGATGCCTGACACGGCATCACGACTCCATCTCCCTTCAGATGAGACCCCCCCTTATCTCTCTAATGGATGTCGTGGAAGAGACATCCAAGGGGCATAGCTGGGAGATGGAGTCAGTGAATCAAACATCAACTCACTCAACCGGGAACGTAGGCTTTACGCCAGTTCCTGGAAAGAAGAAGAAAAAGAAAAAACCGGGCTGGCCGAAGGGGAGATCCCGGAAGCCAGACCCAGCAACGAAGAAAAAATGTAATAATAGGGACGCTACACATAAATAATAATGAACGGGATAATCATCCAAGGGAACTTGAGAGGCATTAAAACATATATATAAGGATTACGAAGGATTATCGCACAGCATACGCCTATAGCCATTTCCCTTCAAGAAAGCCATTTACGCCCCGGGGAACAATTCTCTTTGAGAGATTATCGTACTTACATCCGTGGAGTACCAATAGCACGGGGGAGTGGCTATTTATGTAAAAAATAATATACAGTCAGAAGAAATATACATAGAAAACAAAAACGTTCAGATCGTAGCTGCCAGGATAAAATACTCCAGGAAATAACACTATGTTAAGTTTATTTACCATATAGAAATTGGAATCATGAAGAAGTAAAAGAAATAATTAATGGATTACCTCACCCCGTTTTTCCAAGTTTTTCCCTATCGGTCTGTTTTTAGAAAAACTGTTTAGGATAAGCATATTCAGTGGTGTAAAAGACATAAGAGGTTTACATTAAAGGTGTATTCCCGAAGCCCAATTTCTTGAATTTTCAGAAAAACTAATGTTTTATTTTATTGTATTCATGTTTTTAATTGTATATTAACAATTCAGAAATACAAAAATTTCTTAGAACAACTTCCGTTTTACACCTTTCTAGGTATATTAATATGTATGGGGGCACTATAGTGACAACACAAACAAAACAGAGAACATTGCTTATTTGCAAATAAAATCAGAAAATAACTTACTTTACCCTTATTCTACGTTGAGCTGTATATTTTTAAATACAGACTTAAAACATCGAACTCTTATATCTAAATGCTTTTTTGCAATTTGAGAAAAGTTGTGCCCAAAACCATTCTTATATTTATGTTTTCAATAAAAATTCAGACTTATTGGAATAGCTACTTTTTATTCTCTTAATTAAAATTTATTTTCTGGCCGAGTAATCATAAGAAAACCAAAGGATCTCTTACCTCTAGGTCGTCCATATCGATGCAGGTTGTGTAGTTGGACCAAGGCTGACCTGTGTCAGGATGTCTGAACCACGAACCGTTATCCAAGCATTTACGAAACGCGAATCCTGAAAAAGAAAACAATTGTCAAATTGATCATAGACGATAAACCTTTTTTATTGGTGGATCAAAGATAAGGGCTTTTTTTGGAAGTTGTTGCCAATCCAACCTCCGTCCGTTAACGTTACCTTGAGACGGGGTTAGAAGAAAACCCTCGGCAATTCACCTTGATCAATTTTTATTAGATGAGAAATGCCCGTTATTAATTGTGTCGTCAAAGAATGCTGAATCAGCCTAAAAATTTCTTCCCACTACTTTTACACGTTCCAGTATTAGAAAATTTTTGTCCAATTAAATTAAAATAACTTTTCCTTCGTTAAGAATTTAACGAAGCCGAAAAAGCCACCGGGACCAAATGATAGCTCAATTTAATATTTTGCTTTCAAACTACCGAAGGTAGCCTTGTAGTCATGTGGGAATTATAAAAAAATTGTTGTACTCAGAAATTTTCACTCGCAATTTACGTTTCTGACCAATTCTCTGTCTGTGGTTAATTGCTTGCAACCGGCAAAAAACTCCAAAACAATTAGAACCAAATTTAGAAAATTTTTAGAGATTGTGGGGCTTTGTTTCTTACCTGCTCAAAAGTGTTATTTTTATTATAAATTGCATTCAAATTTATTAGAACTTATGTTTTTTAATGAAGGAAAATTTAATTAAGGGATTTTGAAAAATAACAAAACAAAAGGTTTTAATTCCATAATTTTGTTTATTGGTCACAATAATTCTTTTAAATAATTAACTTGGTGTACAATGTCCTTTGTTAGCTAAAACCTCTGTCCACCTGTTAGGCACACTGATTCTGGTTGTCACTAATTTTTAAGGAATTTCACTCCATAGAAATTTCCAACGCTTCATTCAGTTGTAGCAGGTCAACTAGCTGCGGATGGTGATCTAAAAGCATTCTCCGCAACGTATCCCATATTGAAGTCTGGAGAAAACGGAGGGCCAGATGGGAAATTCCCAGGTTTTTTAAACATTGATGAATGAAACTCTGCCTCTATGACGTCTGACATTGCCATCCAGAAATCAAAAATTCTGCATCTGAGATCCCTGGCTTGCTGGATGTATTCCGCGATAATATTATGACATAATAGAAAATAGGTTGGAGGTTGCCTTCAACAATATGGAGTCCAATTCGTCCTCCAGTCTAAATCCGAGTCCAATTCGTCCTCCAGTCTAAATCCGAGCCCAGTCCATTACACTTCCTCTTCTAAACCGGACTAACGGTAGCACAAACTGGGGCTTTGAACGCATGCCCTGTTCTCGGTAGACTCTTCAGCGCATGCTATCACTATAAAGGCAGAAGCGCATCAGTAAACAACAGCATTCCAATTGGTGGTCTCTTCTAGGCGCTCGCTGCACTATATTAACCTGAGTAGGTGGCGAGATGTTGCTGCAGGTCGTCTCAAAGGACATGTGAGTCCAACTTCCCTCGAACGAGTAAGAATTTTTTGCGTTGATAAAGGCCTATCCCCAACATCTTGCACTTCAATTAGGATCTGGCGTGCACCATGGAAAGGGTTCTTGCGGCATTGCCAATATTTATGTCCTCCTTTAACGTCGTAAAGAACTGCGATCCCCTACAAGGCCTCCTACTGGCACTTTCAGTCTCTCGGAATCGGGTGAAAGCCCATGAAAGGACGATGTGAGAACCGCTAACTGCCTCTGCGATATCCACTTGCTGGTGATGCTTAAAAAGAATGCAACAAGGTTAAAATGATGAAAGGACGAGACAAGTAGAACCCTTATTAAATATGAGGATTAAAATTTGTTTATATTTTCTAATTGTTTTCTAGCCAACTAACAAGAATATATCAGTTAATTTCATTAAAATTAATAGAATAAGAATAAATTTCCAAACCCTGTTCATTTTTGAGCAGTTTAGGTCACCCCGAGTGAATTACATTGTATTTGGTTCAACGGTATCGCCTGCGCATCGCTAAGGTAAAATCACGCTCACAGCTGTATTATAGTTTGTACGTTATCTTTGCCTCCTTGTAAAAGAATTCATTAATTTAAAAAAATGTATACCAAAAGAAAGTAAAGATTTAATAAATATTAAGTTATATTTAATAAATATTAAATGGTAATTGTGTTATTCCTCATTCAATTTCATGTGCATACAAAAAATTATTTAAATATTATTTAACCTTGGTTTAAAAGATACCCTTTGTCACGGATGAATCTATCGTCGGTCACGTCTGTAAACCTAGTTCAATCCTGCCCTAGCTTTCTAGTCTCAAGCCCTCTTTCCCTAAAACGCCGAAGAACCCTTCCTATTGTAAAGTAATTCTCTCTCTCCTGGGGACTTCCTCTAATAATGTTATGACCCTAAAACTGTACTCACTCAAATGCCTGACTAGAGCTATTGAAAAAGGTTAAGAATACGTACAATATCAAATGAAATCAATAAAGGAAAAAGATTAACTGAAAACCATCTTTAGACGTATGGAAGCATAATGCTACTTTTTGTGCGCATGGGATTAAGCAGTACAAAAGTAAATACAGAACGGAAACAAAGCATTATTTACTGTTTATGTTGACTGCGATAGCTCTTAATTCTTGTTTTCAGTATTAGAAAAATCGATCTTCTTTTTAACTCACGAACACTCTGGATCATGGTATGGTCTTGAAGAAAAAAGCAAATTCAAGAGTTACTGCCAAGCTTTCGGCCTATTTGCATCACCATCAGGCAAAACAATCTTAAATATGTCAACAGATTGACATATTTAAGTTTTTTACAGGTGATCTAAAATTTCCTTAAAGATCGATTCATTCCCCACACGGTAAAAGTCGTGCAATACTGTTGCAATCCTTGGCAATGTTAAGCCAAATAAATTGAGTGGTCCGCTTGATTTGTCCATCAGTGTATAAAGTTTGTCGTTTTGATTTGCACATTGAAATATTTTCTTTGGTAAATATGACCTGTCATTTTATATCACATTGAATAACTTTTGAAAATGAACATCTAAATTATGTAAACTTTTACTTGAAGATGATGGGATTATCTTTCATCATTTCACCCACTTTCATGTTTGCAAGACATTTCCAGTGAACAATTATGGATTATTTTTGTGAAAATAAATTTAATAATATTTATTATCTATTACATGTGTGTTTACTTTTGACCTAGCTTGGTTTTTTAAGTTTAATTTTACTTGTAGTATAAAAATAATATTATGAAGGCCTCTCTTTCTCATTCACCCCAGCCATGGTCTCTGGTGATCTTCAAATTAGTGTACTGTTGGTACTCCTATTATTAGGCTATAACTTGTAAATAAACAAAATCTTTTTTATTCTATAACACTAAATTTTAATTAGATCACATTAATTTGCCGATAAATTAAATTACAGAAGGTACAAAACAATAGTACACTATTGCTTGCTTGTAAATAAAACCAAATATGTAAACAATTCAGAGTTGAATTGTGAGGTTTCCTCTTGGGTTATGACCTGAAGGTTCGGTAGCTCCGTCAGTTGGTCTCACACGTTTGGCCTATTCGCCATCTTCAGTCATAAGTCAGGGTGATTTCTATTATTATTTTTTTATATACTTAAACGTTGAAGGAAGCATTTTTTCGAAAAAGTTTTGACAGTTTAAGTCTAGACATGATTATTTGATATTGAAAAGTAGCAGCAAAAAAGTCCTTTTTTTAGAAAATGAAAATATGTTTGTTTGCGTCTGGGACAATGGACTATATGGCCGTGAAAGTAAATTTTAAAAGAGAAAATGTACAAAACCGAATAAAATAAAATTGAACCGAAAGAAATAATAAAAAAATGATAAAGAATAATAAAAGAAATCTCACCTGTCTTCTGTCGGCTACTTTCTTCAACGACGAAGGTTCCAGAGAGATAGAGGATCGTAGAGAAAAGATGGCTTGGAAAAAATGAAACAGAAAACCATTACCTCGTAGTGGAGACAATTATCACGCCAAAGAACAGTTCTATCTACGAAAATACTGGTGAGATGACAAACCACGATTTCGAGAACGATATCCGGGGACAACGATGAAATTTTATCCGCAAGACAATCGAAAAAAATATTCGACCAGAGTGGTACGATAAAAGCTGGTCCGAATACGAGATATGACTGGCCAGAGAAACCGACAGTTCAAAGTACAATGGGGCTCGAACACCCCTAAATTGTTTACCTTCTAATGCCTCCAATGTTTATTAAACACGATATGTTTGAACTTAGGGAGGACTGGATCGATCCTCAGGAAACTTGATATTATGCGATTACAACTTTTTACGAAGGTATTTCAACCAAGAGATTATATGAACCTCGGAGTGCCATTTGGAAGTATGTTGGGCTTGAATAAATGTGTTTGTTGTTTTTTTTTCAAAAACACCGGCACCCCGAGTGTTCATATAACCTTGTAGTTGAAGTACACTCGTTAAAAAAATTATTGGGCGTTATCAAAAAAGATCTATTCAAACTTCGGTAAAGTGATTTTACTTAATAATAATTATTTACTGTTTATGGAGATACATATATAAATATGCATTACAGTAAAAGTAGTAAGTAAAAAATTTAAATAAAGTCAAAAACTTTTTTTTTGAGCAGGAAAACAGAGGTCTTGCAGATTCGTGTTTTTGTGCTATTAAAATATGGCTAGTGATCAAAACTTAGTAATTAACCTGCCCTTTCAAGTTGAAAATGAGCAATTTCTCACTTACGTTTGATGTCGAAGCCTGTAACAAAATAAGGGCAGGGGGCGAGGGCCGTCTCGCCGGATGGAGTCGTGTTCCAACAAGACCAACCGTCGAACGCAGCGGGGCAGTACGCACGCATCCCATTCGAATCTGAAAAGAAACAGAGATTGGAGGCAAAATTAGACAGAAAAAGGAAATCGCGTGTACCTTATCGGATAAAGGGTCGAGATAAAAGAGAAAACTAGCACAAATAAATAAATTTAACTGCCTGAAATAATGGTTAAAAATTTATTTTACCTATCGTCTATAAATTTTACATTTTACAAATAGAAGGAAAGATATTATATTGTAAATTTTTGAAATGTGTTTTCAAATTTATTCATATTAAGGCTTTAGCTCTTTGTTAAGTATTTACAGTTAACAGGGTATTGAACTTTCACCAACAAAAACGTTTTATTTAAAACAAACTTGTTATAAGTATATAACAGGTCTTTATGTGTACAGGGTGTTTATGTGTATGAACCGTTAAGCTTACATATTTATATACATATTTATATGTTTATTTATTCGCATTTACGCTTAACAACTGCAAGATAACATTATTGATTGCTGATAAAAATTTTAGGACATATAATTCCAAAATTGTATAAATCAATCCGGGCAGAATTCAAGATGTTATGAAAATTCTTGCTCCTAAAACATTGAAACAAGTAGCAAGTTTTGTTGGTGCGATTAATTATTACGCAAAATTTATGTCGAATTTATCGAAAGTACTAACTCACCTTACCACTTATAGAAAAAGGGTGCAAAATTAATTTGGTCAGACATAGAGCAAAAGGCATTTGAAGAGGCAAAATCATTAATAGCTTCAGCTCCTATTTTGCAAATATGGGATTTCGAGAAACTTTTTTATTTGACTACCGATGCAAGTCATTTGTTGATCGGATCTGTCTTAGCACAAAGTGATGATGGGATTTTATTGCCAATTGCATACTTCTCTACTAAATTGAAAAAGGACCAACTAAATTATAACACACGTAAAAAAGAAATTAAAGGCGATTATAAATTACATAAATCATTTTTCACCATATCTGAAACACGCCTAAATTTTTTGAGAACAGTTTACTCAGCGCTTACCTAGCTTATTAATAATCAAAAACCTAGCACTTTAGTTATCATTAAAAAATAAACAAAATAATACAAAATAAACTCTAGTTTCGAATCGAATGCAACGTTAGAATTTGAGCAAAAGCATACCAAAAATTGACCGAGAACAGTACTGCTAAAAATTTTCTGAACTATTTACTAGCATTTCAAGTCATCAAAGAAAAGATGAACATTTGAATTCTATAATAAAATTACTAAATGAATATGTGCTGTTTAGTGACCGTTAGTCAATGATTATTCGGAGAACGTGAGATCACGAATAAAAATTAAATAAAGTAGATGTACCAAATGCAAAAGTTCAAAATACCTTCGGTTTTGTATCCTATAAATGTCGATTACTTTCATACTTCGGAAAACTGGCTCACTAAGGGTATAAGAAGAATAAGAAAATAACAAAATGGCTATAGACATATGTAAAAATAAGATATAAAAATTGCGTCATGTGCACAAACCGAGGCCTTTACGGGTAAGAACAAACATGTTTTACAATCCCAATTAGAAGCAAGTTTTCCGAAGATAAAATATACATCGATTTAGCTGGACCATTTCCTCAAAACGGAGTTAGCGGAATATTTGTTAGTTTGTCTGGATGCTTATTCCAAATTTATTATTGCCAAACCGATTTTTAAGCCAACCACAATTAACGTGATTAACGTATTAAAAAGACACGTTTTTCCTCATTTTGATATTCCGAAAATTATTGTTAGTGACAGAGCGGCGTTTTTTAAGGCTTATTTTTTAAACATTCCTTACGCACCAATCGCAAATAGTTCCGAATGTGTGATTCAGTCGATTAAACTAGCAATCTTTTCATTTTATTATATATAATATATATAATTGTTGCATTTTTTTTATGTTCTTGTTATTTTTAATTGGTTATAATTGCGTCTTCCCTCTATTGAAATTCTGTGTAATTTTAAATGCAAACAAAATAACCTATAAAAATTTAATCGCTGTAGGTTTAACATTAATTTCTTTCGCGTTAACATGCAAAAATAGTTTTAGACCAGGGGTGCTCAAACGGTCGATCGCGAGTGCTTTTTGAGTAGATCTCGAGAAGAAAAAAATTTTTAATAAGTAGGTAGGTAACTAAACTACAAAAATGTATTACGTAATAAAATAACACTGCTTGCGGCAAAAGGTGGCTTTATCAAAGGAACGCGCGGCACTTGTCAAAGAAAAGCCGCGTTGTTTCTAGACTAGTAGACAGTACAGTCTAGTCTAGAAACAACGAGAGACAGTACAGTCTAGTTTCGGGCGGCGCGTTTGACGGGAACATTCGAGACTTTCGTTCACGCCGATATAAATGTTGTGCCTGCAGGAATTGGAGTCATTCTGAATTGTAACTTGATGGCGATACTACGTCGATACAAAGTTTATTATTAAATAGTGGAAAATGAGTGCAGTGAAATCTAAAACGTATC